TATCGATACATGTTCATCAGAAACCCAATCTAGACTAAATGTATCGATACATTATAAATATTTATCGATACATTTAAGATAGAATGTAGTTTTCTGAGACAGATTGCTTATAAAACCTACCCAACTTATTTACATTAAATACCATTTAAGTCAATGTCCTCTTTGCTTTGTATTCTCTATTTACTTAAGATATTTAATGTAAATAAGAAAACAACCCCCATTTGGATTCAACAAAATTATCAAAAAAATCAAAATCCAAAAGAATCAAAATCTAATTTTTGGATTCAAGAACAAATCGAAAAAATTCGATTGAAATTAAATTTGTGGTTCCCATTTACCATAGCGAACACATTCCAAAAATTATGAAAAAATCATTTTTGATCATCTAAAAATCAAGGGAATGATTACTGCCAATTTTTATTTACAAAAGATTGTTCTATAAAAATCACATATTTTAACATTTGCAAACTTAGAAAATTTTTTGCTTCAAAAGTGACAAACAACCAAAACTGTGAATCAATTCTTTTAAGGTTAAAACTAAGTTTGATTTTAAAAATATGTAATCTATATGCTCACCTAAGGATTTCTTAACTTATCCTCTAACTCAAGCTGGAATTTCACACGATTAGAATGACATCCACTTCCTTTTTGTTTGCTGAGCGTACACCCACTATTGCTTTCTTACTCTATCTAAAACTTGGATCCTCTTTGTTCGGGTGATATGGCCTCAATATACTGACATGAAAGACCGGATGGCCTTTCAGCTTAGGTGGCATATCAAGTTTGTATGCCATAGGACTAATACGTTCGGTTACTTTGTAAGGCCCCTCACATCGTCTTAACAGTACCTTTTAGAGTCCTCTATCCTTGAGTACTACATGTAGTTTGACGAGTACCAAGTGTTAGCAATGGCATGATTAGAGCATCAATGTAGCAGAATAAAAAAAATTGAAATAAAATAAAAATTATGCCTCCTATCTTTAGATCACTTTGGTTGTTTAATGTAAAGTGAAGCACCACATAAAATTAGAAAAAGTTTTACCTTGCCAAGTGATATTGTAATCAAATGGATTCCTTTTGGGGACAAAATGTGAACACCTTTTGTGTGAAAAAATCCTAGCCACTCAATCACTTGGCCTTTATTGTTGCACACACGATTGCAATGGGTTCTTCTCAATGAGAGAGCTTTATGCCACGGGCTTATGCTCGCAAGTGGACAACGATTTATCCTCTTTTCTTCTTTGATTTCCACCAAACAATCAAAAAAGAATATTTCAAAAAAAAACTTCTCAAGAGTGGCAGCACTCAAGAGAAAAATCTTTTTTTCCTTTGTTTTTTTTCTCTATAGAAAATAATGGCTATAATGTGATATTTATATCTAGGTTTAACTTATTAAAATGTGCAAACTAAGTCCTTAATATTATGCAATTATAATATTTAACCAATACCTAA